TCGTTCGACACTGCTTCGACACTTTTCTGGGTGCTCGAACTGATTTCTGGGATGTGGTCCTACAGTACGATGGGAGCAACACAGATGGACGCGCCGAGGTATATATATATATATAAATAAATATACATACATCTATATTTATATATATACACAAGACTGCAGTGGCGCTTCGCACCAATGCACCTTGGTCCTTGAGAAATGGTATGCAGGCGGAATAGCAGGAAGGTCAAGCCGACAACTTAGCGATAACTCCTGATTGCCTTTTCCGACATCGCCGCTATAATCATGTTGTTCGTTATCCTTCCTCCATGTTTCTTCTTCCTTATGTTCGCCATACCCTGCGCATTCTCCACATCCTCCTCAGCTTTTTTTTGCGGAGGCTCCCCCTTGGAGAGCCTGTAGGGGCCTCACAAAAGTTGTTTCGGGCTTTCTTAGGCCTTCTGGAGGCCTCCTGGGCGTATTTTGGGGGCCTCCGGGGGCTTCCTCGGGCCACCCTGCCTCCAACCGCGGTCTCCCTGAACGACCGAATCACGATTTGGAGTTCTTCGGAGGGTGTCTTTGGGCCATCTTGGGCCGCCATGGGGCTCTCTGAGGGCCATCTTGGACCCGTGTTGTGCCGTTTTGGGGCTCTCTTGGACTGCCTGGAAGCCCTTTCGGATGGTTGTGGGGCGATTTTGGAGCCTCCCAGGCGGCTTCGGACGCCCAGAAGACCGCCGTCTTGGAGCGTCGGGAAGCCGAAAAGAGGAGAACCCCCAAATTCACCAAAAACCAACAGAAAATCAATGATTCTTGCCTCGGGGGGCCTTCTTGGGAGTGCTCTTGGTGGCCTCTTTGGGGCCGTCCTGGAGGCCTCGGGCCATCTTGAGGTCACGTCGGTCACTCTTGGAGCGCTCTTGTGCTGTCTTGGGGGTCTCTGGGACGTCTCCGATGACCCCCCTGATCGCCCTAGGTGTGCTGGGAAGGCTTGGCAACGCGCCCTGCGAGGCCCGGTGGCCGCTTCGAGGCCCGTCCGGAGGGTCCCAAAGCCCCAAAACCCGTCCGGAGGGAAAACCCGTCACCCCCCCCAAAACCGGACTCCCGGGATCTGGGGCTTTGGGACCCTCCAGACGGGCCTCGAAGCGGCCCCCGGGCCTCACATGGCGCTTTGGCAAGCCTTCCGAGCACACCTAGGGCGATCAGGGGGGTCATCGGAGACGTCCCAGAGACCCCAAGACAGCACAAGAGCGCTCCAAGAGAGACCGACGTGACCTCAAGATGGCCCGAGGCCTCCAGGACGGCCCCAAAGAGGCCTCCAAGAGCACTCCCAAGAAGGCCCCCCGAGGCAAGAATCATTGATTTTCTGTTGGTTTTTGGTGAATTTGGGGGTTCTCCTCTTTTCGGCTTCCCGACGCTCCAAGACGGCGGTCTTCTGGGCGTCCGAAGCCGCCTGGGAGGCTCCAAAATCGCCCCACAACCATCCGAAAGGGCTTCCAGGCAGTCCAAGAGAGCCCCAAAACGGCACAACACGGGTCCAAGATGGCCCTCAGAGAGCCCCATGGCGGCCCAAGATGGCCCAAAGACACCCTCCGAAGAACTCCAAATCGTGATTCGGTCGTTCAGGGAGACCGCGGTTGGAGGCAGGGTGGCCCGAGGAAGCCCCCGGAGGCCCCCAGAATGCGCCCAGGAGGATTCCAGAAGGCCTTGAGAAAGCCCGAAACAACTTTTGTGAGGCCCCTAGAGTCTCTCCAAGGAGGAGCCTCCGCAAAAAAGAGCTGAGGAGGATGGGGAGAATGCGCAGGGCATGGCGAAAATAAGGAAGAAGAAACATGGAGGAAGGATAACGAATAACATTATTATAGCGGCGATGCCAGAAAAGGCAACCAGGAGTTATCGCTAAATTGTCGGCTTCTTCTTCCTGCTATTCCGCCTGCGTACCAAACTTCAAGGACCAAGGTGCATGGCGCGAAGAGCCACTGCAGTTTTGTATTCCTATATTTTTATAAGCCCGGGCGGGGGGAAAACCCGTCACCCCCCCTCCCAAAACAGACTCCCGGGATCTGAGGCTTTGGGACCCTCCGGACGGGCCTCGAAGCGGCCACCGGGCCTCGCAGGGCGCGTTGCCAAGCCTTCCCAGCACACCTAGGGCGATCAGGGGGGTCATCGGAGACGTCCCAGAGACCCCAAGACAGCACAAGAGCGCTCCAAGAGAGACCGACGTGACCTCAAGATGGCCCGAGGCCTCCAGGACGGCCCCAAAGAGGCCTCCAAGAGCACTCCCAAGAAGGCCCCCCGAGGCAAGAATCATTGATTTTCTGTTGGTTTTTGGTGAATTTGGGGGTTCTCCTCTTTTCGGCTTCCCGACGCTCCAAGACGGCGGTCTTCTGTGCGTCCGAAGCCGCCTGAGAGGCTCCACAATCGCCCCACAACCATCCGAAAGGGCTTCCAGGCAGTCCAAGAGAGCCCCAAAACGGCACAACACGGGTCCAAGATGGCCCTCAGAGAGCCCCATGGCGGCCCAAAATGGCCCAAAGACACCCTCCGAAGAACTCCAAATCGTGATTCGGTCGTTCAGGGAGACCGCGGTTGGAGGCAGGGTGGCCCGAGGAAGCCCCCGGAGGCCCCCAGAATGCGCCCAGGAGGCCTCCAGAAGGCCTTAAGAAAGCCCGAAACAACTTTTGTGCGGGCCCTAGAGGCTCTCCAAGGCGGAGCCTCCGCAAAAAAGAGCTGAGGAGGATGGGGAGAATGCGCAGGGTATGGCGAAAATAAGGAAGAAGAAACATGGAAGAAGGATAACGAACAACATTATTATAGCGGCGATGCCGGAAAGGGCAACCAAGAGTTATCGCTAAATTGTCGATTTGATGTTCCTGCTATTCCGCCTGCATGCCAAACTTCAAGGACCAAGGTGCATGGCGCGAAGCGCCACTGCAGCCTTGTATATATGTATTTTTTTTTTTTATATATATATATATGTACGTATGTATGTATACAAATATATATATATATATATATATATATATATATATGTGAGGCGCTTTGGGCTGAGGAGAGGGGCTCTGCTTTTCGGGCCCGTCCCCCTGGGGGTCTGGGTCGGGGGACCTGCTTATTCGTGGTCGGGGCTCTCCGCTGCCAGAGGAGCCCCTTCGTTCTTGCTCGTGTCCCGCTCCTTACGGTAGCACATTGACTGTATCTACACTTGCGTCGGCCTTGTCCCTCTGAAGGAGGATTTTTGTTCGTCCAAATCCCCCTGTATGGGGGACACGCCCGACTTAACAGCACCTACACTCATCAGAACTCTTAAGAGAAACATCAAGTATCGTGGATTCCAGATTTCACCCAAGAGAACCCAGAGTCTGGGCTGGACCCTGGGCGTGCTCTCGGGAGTTCTTAGTCCGTTGAGCTTCGTATATCTGGACCTAGGCTGTCGGTTGAGCAAGCGCTTGGAGTGAAGTCCACCTTCTTAGCGTAGAGTTCTCTCAGCGCTGAGCAGGGGTGTCCTTCTGATGCGGCTGCTGGTCTCCCTCCCCGTCCACTCTTCCTCCTCCTCCTCCTCCTCCTCGCGCTTCTGCTCCCCCTCTTCCTCCTCTTCCTCCTCCTCCTCATTATCATCATCATCCTCAGCATCATCCTCATCCTCATCATCGTCATCATCATCATCATCAGCATCATCATCATCCTCATCATTCTCATCATTATCCTCCTCCTCCTCATCATCATCATCACCATCATCATCAGCATCATCAGCATCAGCATCATCATCATCATCATCACCATCATCATCACCACCACCATCATCATCCTCAGCATAATCATCATCATCATCATCATCATCGTCATCATCATCATCATCATCATCATCATCATCATCATCATCATCATTATTATTATTATTATCAGCAGCAGCATCATCATCATCATCATCGTCATCCGTCCTCCTCCTCCTCCTCGCCATTCCGCTCCTCCTCCTCCTCCTCCTCCTCCTTCTCTTCCTCCTCCCCATCCTCCTCCTCCTCCTCATCATCCGTCCTCCTCCTCCTCCTCCTCCTCCCTTTCCTCCTCCTCCTCCTCCTCCTCGCGCTTCTGCTCCTCCCCCTCCTCCTCCGTCCTGCTCCTCCTCCTCCTCCTCGCGCTTCTGCTCCTCCTCCTCCGTCCTCCTCCTCCGTCCTCCTCCTCTTCCTCCTCCTCCTTCTCCTCCTCCTCCCGCTGCTGCTGCTGCTGCTGCTGCTGCTGCTGCTGCAGCTGCTCCTCCTCCTCCTCCTCCTCCTCCTCCTCCTCCGTCCTCCTCCTCCTCTTCCTCCTCCTCCTCCTTCTCCGCCTCCCTGCTCCTGTAGCCACCCTCTCTCGGCCTTCCGAGCCAGGGCCCGTCGAGCGGGGGCCACCCTCGGCTTCAGCCTCTTAGTCCCACTCGCTCCCTTTGCTGTCGATGCTGCTCCTCTTGTGCTCTCTTTCGTGGCGTGCCCCCTCCCCCCCGCCTCCCAACCCCCTACCCTGCGTCTCTCGACCTCATCCTGGGGAGACTTTTTCATCCCGGGTAGCTCTCTGACCGTCCTGGGCCCCAAGGCGTGTCTCCAGAGGACCAAACCTACAAAGCTCCGCCGTCGTGATCCCAAGATCTGGAACCTGGCCGCCCTCCTCAGAGCTGCCGCAGAGCTGCCGACTGGACCTCTCCACGTGTGAGCTGTCAGGGGATTACCAGGAGGTCCAGCACGGGCGAGAGGCGTCGAGCTCCTCGTCCCGACCCCTTCTCCCTTCCTACCTCCTTCTCCCCCGTGGTCTTGACGAGAGCCGATGCCCTCCTGAGATGCTGCTGCCTGGTTGGCACCTGTGGTGGCGCGGTAACTGCGACCACTGCTTCTTGCCTGTCCTCGGCCGGCGGGCGCCCAGGGCAGCCTCGTGGCCAACCACATCCACAGTGCGCGTCGAGAGGACAAGGAGCTCAGCCTGCCTCGGAACCGTGCTAGCCAGCACTCCTTTCCTCCCCCTGCTCTGTGCGGCCCTCCCCCCCCCTTCGCCGCGCCGAGATCGTTGTCACCCCGCCGGCGGACGCGCCCGCTGCCGCCAACGTGCGCGCCGGCGGCCCCGACTGCCTGCCGCCCGAAGGCGCCCGCTGGCCAGCAGCGACGACGACTGAGACAGCGGCCCCTGCCACGTCCACTGGGCACGGCGACGGCGATGCCGGGGCCGCGACGGCCACCACGGCGGCGACGGCCATGTCGACGGCGGCGGCGGCAGCCACTGCGACGGCGGCGGCGGCCACAGCGGAGGGCGGCGGCCCTGGCCACGGCGGTGGCGGCACCAGCGGCGACGGTCACGGCGGCGGCGGCGGCGCAGGGCTGGATCTCACCACGCCGGCGGACGAGCCGCCGAACGTCTCTGACTTGTGCTCGGAGGACGGGCGGGCCGAAGGCGCACGGGTCGCAGCGAGGCACCCATGCTCAGGAGGGGTGGAGCGGGTGGAGGGGGGTGGGTGGAGGCGCGCCCTGGGGATCAGTCAAAACGCTGAAACAAGGACCACCTTGAGCGCAGGATGGGCTCGTGGCCGAGGCTCGACGTGGGCAGAAGAGGCCCGTCGTTCCTTATCCAGTCTTCCTTCTGGAAGCACCATGACTGTAGCCAAAAGCCGCGCTCTGAAGAACGCTCGGGCCGCGGGGCTCCGAGACGCTGCCGCCTGTCCAGCCCGCCGAGGAGGACGGGGAGGAGGAGGGGAAGGGGATGGGGGAGGGGGTAAAGGAGGAGGAGGAGGAGGACGAGGAGGAGGAGGAGGAGGGTGATGGGATGATGATGATACTGATGATGATGATGATGATGATGCTGCTGCTGCTGATGATGATGATGATGCTGATGATGATGATGATGATGCTGATGCTGATGATGATGATGATGATGATGATGATGATCGTGATGATGATGATGATGATGATGATGATGCTGCTGCTGTTGACGATGATGATGCTGATGCTGATGATGATGATGATGATGATGATGATGATGATGCTGATGATGTTGATGATGATGATGATGATGACGATGATGAAGATGATGATGATGATGATGATGATGATGATGATGATGATGATGATGATGATGATGATGAGGAGGAGGAGAGGAGGAGGAGAGGAGGAGGAGGAATAGGAGGATGAGGATGAGGAGGAGGAGGAGGGGGAGGAGGAAGAGGAGGATGAGGAGGGGAGGGGGAGGGGGGGGAGGAGGGGGAGGAGCGGAGGACATGGAGGAGGTGGTGGAGGAGAAGGCCACATCTCCGCATCGATGTCTGTGGCTTTGGACACCCCGAGGACGGCCCCGTCGTCGCAATCTGATCGCGCGCCAGCTGGCCACCTTTTCGCCCCCTAGGCGCCGAAGCGGCGCGCCGAGGAACTACGCGCCGCCAGACCTCCAGGCCTCGCGAAGCATGAGTTCGGGTGGGCTGGTTTTGTATCTCCTCTCTTTCGCCGAGCAGTGGTTGCACTCAGGGGGCCTTGCTTCGTCCGTGGGTGATCGGCGTGCTTCGTCTGGGGGTTTTCTCCTCGCTCCTCCTCCTCATCTCGCTCCTCCTCCTCCTCACTCCTCATTCCTCCTCCTCCTCCTCCTCCTCGCTCCTCCTCGCTCCTCCTCCTCCTCCTCCTCCTCGCTCCTCCTCCTCCTCCTCCTCTGGGGGTCTTGCTTCGTCCGGGGGTTGTCGCCCGGTGGGCGCCCGTGGCCGCCCCTGTAAGGGCTGCCTGGCGTGCGCTGCTCTTCCGCGCGGTTTGGCGCGCGGCCGCCTCGTGGCCGCCTCGTGGCCGCCCTCCGTGCTCCAGGGTCTCCGCCCGATGGGCGCGCCGCCCGTGGCCGTCCCTCGGGATCCCGCGAAAGGGTGGTGGGTGGTGGGTGCCCCGAGAGGGGGGGTGTGACCCAGACCTCCTCGGGCAACGAATAGAATCACGACGGCAGGTTCTGAACCATCTTCGGCCTCTGGGGGCTCTTGCCGGCCCTCGAGACAATCAGAAAACGACCCAGGATGAAAAGCCGGTCCAGGGGAATAGGTCGAGACCTCCAGGGGTCGACGTAACGAGAAAATCATGACGTCGGGGGTCTGGGAAGGGGGGGGGAGCCCCAGGCGGGGGTGTGAGTTCGATCGTTTTTTTTGCACCGAACCACCCAAAACAGATGGCCCCCCAGTCGCAGGCAGCTCCCGTCAGTCGCCGATAGGTGGGGCATGCGGGGGCATCTTTTTGCGGCGGTTCGGTGCACCAGCGGATCGAACTCATGCCCCCCCTCAGGATCACCCCCCTTTGGTGGATCCCGAGTCTCGTAGCCGCCCCGAGCGCTTGCTGGCGTTTCAGGATGCGTGCAAAGTTTGGACCAGGTGTACGCGGCGGTTGTGGAAAGTAGGTATTAGTGGGTCCTTCCCGCTTCAAGAGTCGCGCGGTGTTCCCTCTTCCCTCCTCTTTAGGGGGCGGGTGGAAGCCCGATCTACTTCCAGCGCCTTCATGCTTCGTGTTTCTACCCACTTCTTCCGACCGACGGGGAATTCATCGTATCGATTTCGTCACATAGCTCGCACCCATTGTACTGTACGACAAAGGCTGCACTGCATCGATTGCACCACACATTCTGCGCCACGCAGCTGACACCGCATATTGCACTACGCATCTTGCAACGTACAGACGCACACACGCACCCGCGCACGCATACATCTATATATATATATAGATATACAGATGCGCATGCAACACATACATATACCACATCGCCAATTATTCTCTCAAAGCAAAGATCGACTTCACCACCCTTTCCGCCAGGACTAATCGATACCCCTTGGGATATTCCGGTTCACATATGATTCTGCCTCACCGTTCGTTTTGCCCAGCCAGTATCGAGCCCTTCCCCCATCCTGGTCAAAGAGTACCATATGCGCACACATATTTGTCTCAGAAGATCATTTTGCAATGACCCAATGTTACCCTGGCGAAGAACCCAACCCAATGTAAACGCGTGGCGGATATTAGCAGGAGGTCCCAATGCACATGAACATACTCAGGGATTGCAATACCCTGAAAGCTTCGCCAAGAAACGGAACACTACATTCAAAGCCGCCCCATTCACGCATGCACTCTCACTGCGGCCTTCGGTGGAGCCTCCCATGGGACCACGGAAGGTTTGAGCGGACTGCCAAAATGGACCCGATTACGCATGCGAGCCCTGCCTCTGGAGCCTTCGGTGGAGCTCCCTATAGAGCCAAGAAGCGTGTGTGTGTGTGTGTGGTGTGCCGAAACGGACCCGAGTGACAGTGCCACTCAGGCCTTCGGCGAAGCTCCCGATGGGGCTGCGAAACGTGTGAGTGGTGTGCCGGCATGGACCCGAGTACGCATGCGAACCCTGCCACTGGAGCCTTCGGTGGAGCTCCCTATGGGACCACGGAACGTGTTGAGGTTGCGCCAGAATTGAGCCGAGTACACATGCGAATCTTGCCAGTTGGGGGCTCGGCAGAGCTCCCTATGCGGCCACAGAACTTGTGATGGGTGTGCCGGAATGGACTCGAGTGCGTAGGCGAAACCTGCTATTGGAGCCTTCGGTGGAGCCTCCCATGGGACCACGAAAAGTGTGAAGGTTGCGCCAGAATGGACCCCGATACACATGCGAACGCTGCCAGCGGGGGTTTCGGTGGAGCTCCCCATGCTGATACGAAGCGTGTGTGGGGTGTACCGAAATTAGCTCGAGTTCACATGCGAACCCTGCCGCTGGGCCTTCGGTGGAGGCCCCCGATGTGGCCACGAAGCGTGTTAGAGGTGTGCCAAACTGGACCCGATTACGCATGCGAGCCCTGCCACTGAAGCCTTCGGTGGAGCTCCCTGTAGGGCCAAGAAGCGTGTGTGTGGTGTGCCGAAAGTGACCCGAGTACGTATGCGAACCCTGCTATCGGTGGAGCTCCCTACAGGACCAGGAAAAGTGTGTGTGTAGTGTGCCGACATGGACCCGAGTACGCATGCGAACCTTGCCACTCGAGCCTCTGTCGGAGCTCCCTGTGGGGCCGCGAAACGTGTGAGGGGTGTGCCGAAATGGACCCGAGTACGCATGCGATCCCTGTCACTGGAGCCTTCGGCGGAGCTCCCTATGGGGCCACGAAGCGTGTGAGGGGTGTGCCAGGCTGGACCCGAGTAATTACGCATGCGTACCCTGCCACTGGAGGTTTCGACGGAACTACCTATGGGACCACAGAGCGTGTGAGGGCTGTGATGAAACGATGATGTGAATAATGGTAATGATGGTTTGAAGTATGAAGGCGATGATGCTGTCGATGACGATGAGGCGGAATGGGGAAGAGGAAGAAGGACGGAAGGGATGACGGAGGAGACGTGCGGTGCTGCGAATTCAAAGCGAGGACCCAACACACAGGAGAGTAGGGACACCATAGCGCAAAGTCGACGCACGCTCGCACATGTCGAAAGCTCTTCATCATAGACAACGTTAAAGCTACCCATAGGTCTTGCATAACACATTGCAGATGTTCTGACCATGCGCATCCTGCAAAATCAGAGGGCAACCAGATGATTTTAGGAATCTCGTCCAGCACGCGCAATCTCATCCCACCACGCGGTGCATCCTCGTTGATCTAGCTTGCGCCCAGTGCACGAACTCGTATCGAGTGGTACCTTGCGGGCCACGCGCGCGCGCTGCCACGCGCGCGTGTCGAAATCCTCCCAGCGCCAGTGGCTTTTGACGCATTCCAAGACAGATCTATTCAACCACATACGAATTGCCGTATGATGTTCTACAGAAGGTCTGCCAGATTTCATGAATTTCTGTGCGTGCGCACCTTCGCATCACCCTCCGCATCGCTACGCCTCCGTTATCGTCATAGCCAATCGTCACCATTGTCGCCATTATCCTCCTCACCATCACCATCATCATCACGATCACCTTCATCACCGACACGTGGACATCATCGCTGTCATCATCGTCACCAGCATCGACGCCGTCATCGGCTTTGCAGCCGACCTTGTCATCGTCGCCTTACCATCGCTGGTATCATCATTGTTGCCGCCGTTATCGACGTCATCATCATATAGCGCTCGACCGGTTCACTTACCCGTCCTGAGGCGCCCGCGCGCCACAGCGGCCCTAGAGATGCGCTCGGAAGTTCTTACTAATAACCGCCACCATGGTCACAGCAGATGTGCGAAACCAGTTGGTCGCCATACGCGCGGGCATTCTCGCGCCAGCGCGGCCTCAGAGATGCGGTAGCAAAGGCCAATCAGTAGCCGTAGTTGTGGCCGCATTTGTTTTGTCCGACAAGCTGCGGGTGGGAGGGTCTGATGATTGCGCGAGCATTCGAGTAGACGGCGTGAATGGCTAACAGTTTTTTGTTTGGAAAAACGAGACAAGCAGCATTCCATGACAGCGTTTCACAAATGCATGAAAGCTATGGCTTTCAAGAAGACGTCTGCTGGAGTTCTTCAAGCTCTGTGTGCACGCACCTCCCCACCACCTTCATCATCACCATCGCGTCAACGCCGTCATCGTCATCGTCAATTGCTGTCGTTGCCGGCGCCGCCGTCATCAGCACAGTTAACTCGATCACCCACGCATGGACATCATCATCGTTACCGTCGTCACCAGCATCGGGGCCGGCATTGGAATTACCGTCGGCATCGTCATCATTGCTATCTTCAGTCGTTTCCACCGTTGTCAACGCCATTCTGATACCACGTCTGCCCGAGTCTCCGACCCGCAGTGAAGCGCCCGCGCGGTCTTTGAGACGCGCTGGGAAGTTCCCATTTCGTAAGTATTTTCGCGGACGCATCAGGTGTGCCAATCCAGCTGGTCGCCCTGCGCGCGAGCGCTCGCGCTCCAGCGCGGCCGCACAGATGCGCCAGCAAGTGCGAATTGCTCCCCCCGCAATCGTTGCCGCATTGGTTTTGCCGAACAAGTTGCGGGTGGCAGGGTGGGATGATTGCGCGAGCAGTGGAGTTGAAGAGACATGAGTTGACAAACATTGACTGCACGACATATAGTACATCACGTACATTCCAGCACATAGACTACACCAAATGAGTTGCATGCCCTTTTTCCACATACATGTTTATATATATATCGAAGGAGAGAGAGAGAGAGAGAGAGAGAGAGAGAAATATGCACATGTATCGACGTACTCGCACACACGCATATATACTATGAGATATAAGCAAATACGCCAGGCCCCCTCCCGGGGCGTCCTCCACCTCGCTCACATCTCGTGTACGCTCCAGGTACCGTGCTTCTTGGCCTCCCGGGGAGACCCCAAAACGCCAAGGGACAGATCAAGACGACACCAAGAAGCCCCCACAATGTAAAATAATTGCCCAAGACGCTCCCAAGCAACCCAGGATAGTTTTCGGGCGGCCCTCCAGGCTCCCAGGAGGCCTCCAAGAGACCTCAAGAGAGCTCCGAGAGGCCTTCCGAGAGCGCCCGGAGAACCTAAAGTCGTTCATGTTCATGTTTTTTCTCATGGGTTTTGACCTTCTCACCAATTCATGCTTCCAACGCTCCAAGGCGGCCGAAGAGGCCCCCAAGACCGCCCAAGAGGCCCCCAAGACGGCCCCAAGCCGGGCCAAGACGATCCCAAGACTGCTGAAGAGGCGCCCCAGACAGCTCCAGACCACCCCAGAACAGGCCCAAGATGAGCCCAAGAGCGGGAGCAGGAGGCCGCCAGAGACTTCCGAGAGGACTCTGGGACCCCTCAGAGGCCTCCAACACAACCAAGACCCGTGAGCGGCTCCCCAAAAGCTCCGACGAGGCCGCCAAAACAGCCCAAGAGAGCTTCGAGAGCCGCTCCGAGAGAGCCCGAAGAGAGTAAAAGCGTTGATTTTCAGTGTTTTTTGTAGACCTGTTTCGCCTTCTCACGTTTTCCGGCTTTCAACGCTCCAAGACCGAGGATTTGAAAAAACATGAATTTCAGAGATTGATTTTTTCAAATATTTCCTCCTTTTCCAAATTAAACAAATGCGCGCCCCCTCCTCCCGGGGGTCCCACACCTTCCCGGAACATCTGCGGAACGCTCGCGGTGCCGCGCTTCCCGACCTCCCGGGGAGCCCCCCAAACGCCCAGGGACAGCCCAAGACGACCCCAAGAAGCCCCCAGAACGTTAAAGTAAGGCCCAAGACGCTCCCAAGCAACCCAGGATAGCTTTCGGGCGGCTCTCCAGGCTCCCAGGAGGCCTCCAAGAGACCTCAAGAGAGCTCCGAGAGGCCTCCCGAGAGCGCCCGGAGAACCTAAAGTCGTTCATGTTAATGTTTTTTCTCATGGGTTTTGACCTTCCCATTTCATGCTTCCAATGCTCCAAGACGGCCGAAGAGGCCCCCAAGACCGCCCAAAGACCGCCCAAGAGGCCCCCAAGACGGCCCAAGCCGGGCCAAGACGATCCCAAGACTGCTGAAGAGGCGCCCCAGACAGCTCCAGACCACCCCAGAACAGGCCCAAGATGAGCCCAAGAGCGGGAGCAGGAGGCCGCCAGAGACTTCCGAGAGGACTCTGGGACCCCCCAGAGGCCTCCAACACAACCAAGACCCGTGAGAGGCTCCCCAAAAAGCTCCGACGAGGCCGCCAAAACAGCCCAAGAGAGCTTCGAGAGCCGCCCCGAGAGAGCCCGAAGACAGTAAAAGCGCTGATTTTCAGTATTTTTTGTAAACTTTTTTCGCCTTCTCACGTTTTCCGGCTTTCAACGCTCCAAGACCGAGGATTTGAAAAAAACATGAATTTCAGAGATTTTTTTTTTTTTTTTTTTTTTTCAAATATTTCCTCCTTTTCCAAATTAAACAAATGCGTGCCCCCTCCTCCCGGGGTCCCACACCTTCCCGGAACATCTGCGGAACGCTCGCGGTGCCGCGCTTCCCGACCTCCCGGGGAGCCCCCCAAACGCCCAGGGACAGCCCAAGACGACCCCAAGAAGCCCCCAGAACGTTAAAGTAAGGCCCAAGACGCTCCCAAGCAACCCAGGATAGCTTTCGGGCGGCTCTCCAGGCTCCCAGGAGGCCTCCAAGAGACCTCAAGAGAGCTCCGAGAGGCCTCCCGAGAGCGCCCGGAGAACCTAAAGTCGTTCATGTTAATGTTTTTTCTCATGGGTTTTGACCTTCCCATTTCATGCTTCCAACGCTCCAAGACGGCCGAAGAGGCCCCCAAGACCGCCCCAAGACCGCCCAAGAGGCCCCCAAGACGGCCCCAAGCCGGGCCAAGACGGCCCCAAGACTGCTGAAGAGGCGCCCAGGATAGCTCCAGACCGCCCCAGAACAGGCCCAAGATGAGCCCAAGAGCGGGAGCAGGAGGCCTCCAGAGACCTCTGAGAGGATTCCAGGACCCCCCCAGAGGCCTCCAACACATCCCAGACCCCTGAGAGGCTCCCAAAAAATCCCCGACGAAGCCCCCAAAACAGCCCAAGAGATCTTCGAGAGCCGTCCCGAGATAGCCCGATGCTTTCCAATGGTTTTAGTCGACGCTTTTCGCCTTCTCACGTTTTCCCGCTGCCAGCGCTCCAAGACCGAGGAATTTGAAAAAAAGGACTTCCAGAGAGTCCTTTTTTCCAAGTGGGGACTCCTACTGCCTATTCTCCTCCTCGAGCCCCATCAGGACTTCGGGGTCACATGCAATTTTTGCTCGGGAATGCTGTTGAACTCTTCTGACGCTGTCTTGGCAGTCTCTTGGATCGTCTTCGTGTCCTCTTGGCTGCCTCTGAAACCATTGTAGAAATCGAGATCCCATGATCCCTTGAGTTGAATCAGTGGATTTTTAGAATTCCTTTTTTTCAAACTCACTCCTGCTTATTTTTGCACGAAGACCCCGAGAGGTATCCCAGCAGACCGCGGCCTGTATACAGAAAACGTCTAACCCACAGCCCAGGCACTACAACCTGTAACACAAGAAAATCCCATTATCCAGTTTTTTCCATGTTCGCCCCCGATCTACTCTTGCACAACAGACCACAAGTAAGGCCCCAGAGAGGAACGCAGGAAGCTTTCGAGGGCCCTAAATCGTTGAATACCTAAAGGCAATTCATGATTTTTGCGTTTCCGCAGTTCCATTTCTATGCGATTCCGAGGCTTGCGCAGGGCCTCCAGGAGAGTCCTTGGGCGCAAGAAACGACAAGGATGGTACCCCATATGTTCGCCCACAAGCCTAGCTACAACTTGAGCGCGCGCGAAGCGCGCGATGGCTCTAATTTATCTACTTGTATTTATTTATATGTGTATATATTATATTATATATGTTGATGCACTGTCAAAATGCCAACCTATATACATAGAAATCGGATATGCCTTGATCTCGGGCGCGCCGGCCGGGCTGCGTCCGTAGCGCCCCTGGAGGGCCCCAGACGGCCCCAGACTGCCCCAAGAGGGCCCCAAGACGGGCCAAGAGGGCTCCAAGAGGCCTGTCAGACGTTCCAAGAGGGCTCCGAGTCGACGAGCGATCGGTCCAAGACGCTCCAGATGGCCTCCAGACGGCCCAAGAAGCTCTCAAGACGCTCCAAGAGGCCTCCAAGATCCCTCCCAAGAGAGCTCCAAAGCAACAGTCGCCCCATCCCCTCTGGAAAGTATCCATGCTTTGCATGTGCGACTCTTTCGCATTCACGGCGTCGAGGACGGCCCAAGAGGCCTCCCAGATCATCCTCAGGCGGCCCAAGAGGCCCCCAAGGAGGCCCCGAGACGCCCCAAGAGGGCCCCAAGACAGCCCAAGAAACGGCGAACAGGGGGAACTCGAATGGTGATTTCGAGCCCTCCGCCGCGAAGGGCCCCCCAAAGACCGCCAGCACGCCCCCAAGAGGCTCCGAGAGGCCTCCAAGAGGCCCAAAAAAGAGGCGCCCAAGGGCCACCAAAAGCTTCCTGAGAGGCCCCAAGAGGCCTCCTGACAGTCCCCAGTAGCGCTGACCTCGAAACTCACAAACGACTGCGCGTCGCAGCCGTCCCGACCCGACCGTATACCAAACCGAGGAAGCAACTTGTACGGCGACGGTTAGAAACACATTAGACACATATGAATATATATATATATATATATATATATATACCAAAAAAGAGGCGCCCAAGGGCCACCAAAAGCTTCCTGAGAGGCCCCAAGAGGCCTCCTGACAGTCCCCAGTAGCGCTGACCTCGAAACTCACAAACGACTGCGCGTCGCAGCCGTCCCGACCCGACCGTATACCAAACCGAGGAAGCAACTTGTACGGCGACGGTTAGAAACACATTAGACACATATGAATATATATATATATATATATATATACATATATATATATATATATATACACACGTCTTAATCGATTGATGTATTGTACCGCGGTCAGTACACCCCACAGCCTGCGCCACTTTCATTGCATCACCTGCATCCAACAGATCGCACCCCATAGTCTTCCGCCCCCAGGGGCCATCATGCGTGGGTCTGGGACGACAATTGCTCCCGGGTCGAGACCTCTGGGGGCCGCGGATGGACCGAATCAGTGCGTCGGAAGTTTGGGCTCACTGGTGATTGTCTTTTTTATCTGGCCCTCGTGCGGCAGATGGCGGGCCCCAGGTCACTCTCAGGAGAACACCCCGTGGCAAGGAAAGCATCGCGGGCGGGGTCGGGAGCTCCGAGGGTTTCTCCGAAGGGCTTAGGCGACCCGTCCTCCTCCTCCGCCTCCTCCGCCTCCTCCTCCTCCTCCTCCTCCTCCTCTCCCTCCCCCTCGCCCTCCTCCTCCTCCTCCTCCTCCTCCTCCTCCTCCTCCTCCTCCTCGGGTCGCCTACGGCCCCGGGGGAAACCGCGCACTCTCAGGAGAACACCCCGTGGCAAAACAAGCATCGCGGGCGGGGTCGGGAGCTCCGAGCCCCTGTCGTGAGCACAGACGCCACGTCGTTGGATTTCTGGGCCTCGCTCGCGGAACGGGAAACACGCGGAGCTACACTTCGCAGCTCCGCAGGCGGCAGTTTTGCTGCGGACGCCTCGCCCCCTCACTGGCACACTTGGGGTCGGCCCCTTCGGCGTGCTCTCGCGCGTTAGGGAAGGATGGGGAGGAGGTCGGCGACGGCTCGGCTACACGTAAGAGTGACCTTTCGCAGGAGTGACATTTGGTGCGGGCGCACCGGGGCCCCTCGATGTTTGAATGCGATGCGAAGACAGCGGCTTGCCCGCTCGAGTTTGGCCCCCCCCCCCACCCCAAAAGCCGCGCACCAAAGATCATCCTGGCCCAGGGTCACTCTTACGTGCAGCCGGAACAGCGGAGATCTTCTGTCCGCGGGCGCTGGAGGTTTGCGTTTTCGTTTTTTTCTGGCCACCCACTGCGTGGCCGTGGCCGTACGACGGTGGACTGTAGGGCTGACCGTTCGAGCAACGCCTCCGACATCAGTGCCTCCGCAGACTGATGGACGTCAGCACTGGCCCGTCCTCGTCGTCCTCGTCCTCGTCATAAAGCGGCTGCTCTTGTCAGTGTCAGCAGCACCGTCGTCAACTTCGATTTTGGCGTGCTCGTTTCGCCATCGGTGGCGCCGCCATGCGGGCTGTCGCCGCCGCGTGGGCTGTCTGCGATGTCGTCAGACGGCGTGGCGGTGACTAAAGGGAGGTCTGCAACAGCTGCGTTATCCGAGAGCGAGGATCGAGGATTGAGTTCCTCGATGTCCTCGAGGTTTTGATCAGAGCGAGGGGGCCGAAGGGTCCCACACTGTCCCCGGGCTCGCCATTGAAGATCGACGTGAGGTTCCGCGTTGCGGACTGTTGTTCTTGTTGAATAGGGAGGGCCTACGAAGCCGGTGCCGACCCCCAAGCAACACCACCACCACCAACAACAACAGCACCACCACCAACAACAGCAACAACACCACCAACAACAACAACACCAACAATAACAACAGCAACGACAGCAGCAGCACCACCACCACCAACAGCAACAGCAACAACAGCAGCAACAACAACACTTGTGTTACCCCAATGCTCCATGCTTCAGCATGCCACATGCATCCATCATTATCCCCTCCAGTCATCCATCATTACCCCCCCTGTTTGGGAGAAGCTATATTAAAAAAGGGACCGCTATTCCAAAATCAAGATCCCCCGCCCAAGGAGGTCGAGCGAGGCACAGTCCTACTTCCAGCACGTACGACACAGACATTCATTTAAAACACAAAGATTCGAGTCCCTGGAGAAGGGCAATCTGTAGGAACAGACATGACAAAATCAGGATTCGAGTTCCCGTCGATGGGCAACTCTATAGGGACATGCGTAGAGCACATACAAGGATTCGAGCCCCAGGAGGGGTAATCTATAGGACCATATGCAGAAACCAAAAAGGGTTCGAGCCCCGAGAGATGGAGCCCCACGAGAGAGACGGCGAGGCCTATTGGGGCGAAGCTGACGGAGCACCCCCCAGACACATATCCCAAAACAGAAAGGTGTCTCTTGGGGCCTCTTGGGGCCTGATAAGGGGCCTCCTGGGGGCGGGGGGGGGGCCGAAAAGCGCATCCCAAACACATAATCACCCCAATGTAGAAAAGCGTCTCCTGGGGCCCCCTGGGGTCCCCTAAGGGCGGAAGGGCCGAAACACGCTCCCCGAACATATATCCCAGGAGGGGTCGAAAAGCGCTCCCCGAACACATACACGAATGCAGAACATGCCTCCCGGGGACTCCTGCGGGCGGGAGACCGAAACATTGTTCCCGAACAGATGCTCCTGGAGTGTCCTGGGACCTCCGCAAATATCGGTAGGACTGCTCCGACGGATTCCCTTGTGCTGCTGAATTGCGAGGAAGTCTTCGTGGTGCTGAATTGCTAAGAAGTCTCGGGTAACAGAAAGGCTGTGCCGGCATCCGCGGGTAGCAGCAACCTTGTTCTGAAGGACTTTTTTGTAGTGCACAATTGTAAGAAGACTCAAACGAGACGGCCGTTCCGGCATCCGCAAGTAGCAGCAATCTTGCTCTGAAGTTCTGAAGGACACCCTTGTGATGCTAAATTGTGAGGAAGCTGAATTGTGAGGAAGTCTTGGACGAGAGCGCCCTTCCTGAGGCTCGGGCCCTCTCTGGCCAGGGCCTCTCGGAGTAAGTTGTGATGAAGTATCACACAGGGGCGTTGCTGTTGTTGGGGGCTCGTTTGGGCACAATCTCGAAACGCTCGAGCGTGAGCTTCAACTTTAAAGGAAATGCATCCGGCGCCGAGGCGAGAGCGCCAGGGCGCTTGTAGGGGTCCATCAACAAGAATTGTTTAGTGATTAATATTCAACAACGACGAAGGCTCACCGTCCGACAGTCCTCTCAAGTTGTTTAGAAATCGCGCTCTCGCTCGAGATTTCTTTACGATTTGCCCAGAAATCGCGCTCTCGCTTTAGACCTCCTCGCAATTTGCTCAGGGATTGCGCTGTCGTTTGACATTTCCTTGCGATGTATTAAGAAATTGCGCTCTCGCTCAGGAGCTCCTGGCGATTTACTCAGGACATGCGCTTTCGCTTGAGACTTCCTGTCGTTGTACTAAGGAGTCGCGCTTTCCCTCGCAACGTCCTTCCGATTTACTCAAGAACCGCGCTCTGTGTGAGACTTCCTTTCGTGTTGTGCTCAGGAGTCGCACTCTCGCCCGCGAAGTCCTCCCGGGTACTCCGGAATCGCGCTCTCGCTTGAGACCCTCTCGCGATTTGCTCAGGCGCGCTTTCGCTTGATACTTCTTTTTGTTTTTACTACCAACCCTCAAGTGTGTTGGGTTCTCGTTTTCGAATAGAGCGCTGTGGTCTCCACTCTCCTCTCCTCCTCCCCTAATTGCTCCCCCCTGCGTCCTGCGTCCTTCCTGTCACCCCCCTCTTCCCTTGCTCCTCCTGCGCTGATCCCTGGGTGGCTGCGATCTGCGCAACTGTCGCCACCTTCGTGGGCTCCTGGGAGGCACGGCGGAGTAGCGGAGCACCTGAGACCTCGCAGCGCCTCGGGAGACTACTGCGCAATTGTCGCCACTTTCGTGGGCTCCTGGGAGGCACGGCGGGGTAGCGGACTACCCGAGACCTCGCAGCTCTCTGCTACTATTCTCCTCTCTCACCTGCCTCTGTCCGGAAGAGTGTCGGCCCTCTCCGTATATGATCCGGAAGGGCTTCGCCCCTTGCCGCCAGCCCCATCTCTCGGAGAATGGGCCATGGAAGAGCGAAGTTATGAGGCTTTGGCTTCACCGTGAAGCAGCGTCGGAACTTCATGCGAAGAAGATGGGTAATTGGCAAGACGAATGGAGATTGCGAGTCTATTGTTGTACTCGCTGTTGTATTTTCCATGTGCTCCCCTACGCTGTGCCCGTTGGAAGTCTCTTGTGTCCTGACAGCCGATCTGCGTGAGGGGTGCTATCGAATTTCAGAAATGTGGTAAATCCCACGTGCTTCTGGACCCTGACCCCGCCGATCTGCGCGAGGGGTGCCATCGAATTTCAGAAATGTAGCAAGTCCCATGTGTTCTTGGACCCTGACCCCGCCGATCTGAGTGAGGTGTGTCATCGAATTTCAGAAATGTTGCAAATCCTTTTGCGTTTTTGCACCTTGACCCTGCCGATCTGCGTGAGGGGTGCCAGCGAATTTTAGCGATGTGGCAAATCCTATATGTTTTTTGCACCCTGACCCCGCCGACCTGCATGAGGGGTGCCATCGAATTTTAGAAATGTGGCAAATCCCATGTGTTTTTGCACGCTGACCCCGCGGATCTGCGTGAGGGGTGGCACCGAATTTCAGAAATGTGGCAAATCCCATGTGTTTTTGGACCCTGACCCCGCCGATCTGCGTGAGGGGTGTCAATTTGTTACCCACTCCAGCAATTCAGAACACACGCTCAGGGCGTGCTAAACCTGCCCGTTTGGGCCTCCCCCCCCTCGCGCGGTCCATCAACAAGGACCAGTAAGCAGCAAGAAGCAGAACTGTAACAGTGGAAACTGGAAGCTGTAATTGGTACAGGACATTGTGAACCTTCGCCCTACAGCCTGGTGGCCCCACAAGGGGGTCGGCGGATGTTTTTGCAAAGGGTTCCGAACCTTGTTTTTTCTTATGGTTGTCTAGAATTCTAGACGCTTCGCGTATCCCCACCAGCCCATCCAGAAACGATGTCCAGGCGAGTTGAGGTGATCAGGGAAGTGCGGCAGCAAAGAGGAGGACGGCCGAACTGTGCAAAGGAGTGAGGAGGAGAAGGAGGAGGTGGATGGATGGATGGATGGATGAGGGAGTGGGAAGAAGGAGGATGAATAGGATGAGGAGGAGGCGGAGGAGGAGGAGGAGGAGGAAGAGAAGGAGTATGAGCAGGAAGGAGGAAGAGGAGCAGGAGGAGGGCAAGCAAAGGGCCAGAGGTCTCTTGGATGCCTCTCGGAGCCTCTTGGGGTATCTCTTGGGCGATTTTTGGTTGCCTCTTGGGACGTCTTGGGGGTCTCTTGGTGATCCTGGGGGGCTCTTCGGGGTTTTGGGTGCCCTGGGGGGGGGGCCTGTTGGGGTCGCTTAGGGTCTTCTTGGGGGCCTCCTGGGGGCCTCTTGGGGGCCTCTTGGGGCCATCTTGGGGCCATCTTGGGACCTCTTGGGGCCTCCTGGGCGCTTCTTGGTGCCATCTTGGAGGAGATTGGTCAACGACGGGGGGTTCCTTAATCTAGTTACGCCACCCCCCAGGAGGCAAACAAGGGGCCCAAACCCTAGTAAAATCAATGATTTTGGCTTCCTCGCCGAGGCCGTTTTGGACGCTCTAACTACCCGCGGCCCCCCCCGTCCAGGTCCACGGGGAGGGCGTAGGGGGAGGGGTAAACCCCTCCCCGAAGGGGAAGAGGGAGGGGTAGAAGAGGAAACGCCCTAAACCATCGACGCCCAGAGGGCTGGTGGGATTCGATTGTTCCTGGTGTTTCAAAATGATGTTCACAGTGCAGCGTGGGCCTCATCTCCGGATCGGCGTTGTGCTTCCGTAGTGCGGAATGGAACTCTCGCCCCAGTCGCCCCCTCATTTCCCCTCCTCCGCCTTCCCCTTGTCCTCCTGCTGCTCCCGCTCCTGCCACTCCAGCTCCTTCTACTGCTATTCGTCCCCGTCCTCCTTCATCATTTTTTGTTTTTCCTCTAGCGCATCCTTCTGCTCATCCGCCACATCCTCCTTCAATGTAGTTGCGCAGCGCCCTTTTTCTTCCGATTGTGAGTGGCACCCAGGGGCCCTCATTGGAGTCCCATGCCCGCTGTGACACGCGCTGGCGGATAGAGGACCTATGGCCTGACATCGGCGGCGAGCCCAGGGGGGAAGCGAGATGGGGGCAGACCTTCTCAGACGGAGGCGGAGCTTCTCAGAATTTATCGCGTTTTCTGGGGAGCCCATGATGGCCTCGGAGAAGAGGAGGAGGAGGATAAGGAGGATGAGGAGGAGGAGGAGGATGAGGAGGAGGAGAAGGAGGAGGAGGAGGAGGGGCTCAGCACTCGGCGGCTTGGGCAAGACAAG